AATCAAGAGTTTTTGAGTAATTAACGCGTGTTTCAATCCGTCCTGTCCAACAATGTTCGCCTCGATATGATCCCTGATTTTGTTCAGATCTCGGATAGTTTCATCGTTAATATGCGAGAAATTAACCCGTTCCGTAGGCGCTATCATCGTTCTTCTTGATAATTTTGCTACTTATTAACAGTTATTAAGGATGACACATAACAAACCAACAATACAGAAAGACAGCTCATTTTAAACTTTAAAATGAGAGTTTAAAATGAGCTGTCTTTCTGTATTGTTGGTTTGTTATGTGTCATCCTTAATAACTGTTAATAAGTAGCAAAATTATCAAGAAGAACGATGATAGCGCCTACGGAACGGGTTAATTTCTCGCATATTAACGATGAAACTATCCGAGATCTGAACAAAATCAGGGATCATATCGAGGCGAACATTGTTGGACAGGACGGATTGAAACACGCGTTAATTACTCAAAAACTCTTGATTCTGAATAACTATAATTAAATTTCGATATTATGTGAATTGTAAGAATTTATATTTCAATAATTATACTGAAGAAGACCGCGTGCGGTCGAAACGTTTATAGAATGATTGTAATTTGCGTTAGTTTTAATATAATGACTGTAGTTTTATAATTTATACATGTAATAAATGGTAGTTGACTGAACATCTCGAATATTCAGCTCGATAAGTTGGCCTTATATTTATCACTTTGTTTTCAATATACGAGCGACAATTGTATTAATTTATTATCAATATTAACGTTCTTTTAATTTTAAATAACTATAAGTATTTTAATTGAGAAAAGATTTATCATAATTTTAATTCAAATACAATAATGTTTCAAACCTAAAGAGATCTTTGACAGATGACTTTGCGGTCACCAGTCCTGTCACGAATTAAAAATACAGTATAGAATTGCTTACAAAGGTGAAAAAAACGTTGCACCATGTCAAAGACCTTCGAAAAGGGAAAACTATTTTGTGATCCAGGACTGTTACGTGGAAAAAAGTGAGAACTAAAGGGTGACGTTCCTCTGTGATCTCGACTGAAAAGTTGTTAGTTAAAGGATTTTATAGAGGCGATCTACACTGAATCGCAACCTCTTTTTTCTCTCTCTTTTTTGCTTATTGATATAATTTTTTTCTTTTTTTTCACATCGTTTGATCAAATAAATGTGGCAAAATTTATTGAATTTTGTAATTTGTGTGTTATAAGCGAATTATATTAATTAATTACAATAGAGAAAATTAATTTTGAGTGGTTACGTTTGAAATACCACTCTCGATGAATGAACAATTTAATGTTTAGCTTTTTTTAATTATACGCGCGGTTTGCAGATACAGCTTTGTGAAAATTAAAATTGATTTGCTGTAAAATTTTTTATTTCTCTGTCGACAGCATTAAAATCTCTAGTATTCGGGTTAAAAACGTTTTTAACCGTGTTTAAATTAACTGTGCATTTTAAAGCTTTTTAATTCAGAGGGATTTATGTGTTAAAAAACCAAAATGCTGCATATCAATATTTTCACGTATTTTTCCTGAGAATAACTTCTCTCATTTGTGTTTAATTCCACTTTTCCGATTTTTCGAATAAAATAATATATAAAATAATATTCGTACATTGTGCGCGCAACGTGTGGCATTGCGATAAAAATTATAGAGAATAAAGGTCGAAATACAGATACTTTAAAAAGATTCTCATATTTTATATTGACCTATAAAATCGCGCATTAACTATATGTTTTATGACGCGCTGTCGTCATAATATGGTATATTTTTTATATTTATAACTACTAATAAACGCAAACTCTTAAATACATCTCGCATCATAATATTAACATTAAAAAAATAATGAAAATATGTTTGTGTATGGTTTTAACATTTCTTTCTTTTCATTAAAAGAATCTTTTCTCAAAACTTCTTTTTGAAAAGACAAGGAATATAAATAAAATCAAATAAAAATCTGGATCGTTTGCAACTAACAATTAAGTTTATATTACGAAAGATTTTTCAAAGAGAGGAATATCAGGTGCGCAAAGGAAAATTACCGAAGCGTTTGTAAACCAGAGGAAAGAACCGAGGCGGGAAATAAAGTAAAGGGAGGTGCGAAATTTGTCTATCGACCGGTTGGAAAAGTCACCCTGTAAGGAATTCCACGTAAAGAAGGTGCCATGAGACTCGGTTGGATAAGAAGAGAGAAAGGTTGTTTTATCTCACTCTCCCTCGACATTCCCGCTTCTATCGTCCCGTCGTCCTGTCCTTGCCGCACATTTGTTGTTTATATTTAATGTAGCCCATTCGAGATCCAGGATGCGGCCTATCCTGACAGAACTTCTATCCTAGAATCCGACGTGGCCTCCCGGCACGGCGCCTCGTCCACCCCCAATTTTGTTCCCCGTTGGATGACCTGACCCGTGAAAAAGCATATCGGCTCGCCTGATCTCCGCTACCGAGGGATTAATTTTTTTCTCCCCTCTTGCCGACGCTTAATTTAGCGTGAATGGCGAACGCGCCCGCGAGCAATTCCCGCCTGGAGAGAAAGAGAGAGAGAGAGTCGCAGTGGGAGTCGAGACTCACCCCGTGAGTAAATTTCATTCCGGCGCATGTTTTGCGTTCCTGAATTCTACGGAGGATATATATGTGTGCTCGCGGTTGGTAAATTAAATATACATACGTATGTTTACGAAAACGCCTGAAATCTCGTATCTTTTGTCAATTTAAATGATTTTCTCCGCAATATATGCGTCTAATGCGGGAACAATTTTTTTCCCTCCTGGTCCTTAATTAATAGTAATTACTTGAATATTCCCGAGCGAGGGAGAAAGAACTCGCGACGCGAAAGACAACGTAAATTAAAGGGGTCAATTACGATTCGCGCCGCAGCGTTTTCGACTTATCCGCCCGGCTTGCTCTCTCTCTCTCCTCGAGGCCGAGCGAGAATTACGAGAGGTTTTGCTCGACGCGGCTCGGAACTCACGCGAGTGCACTAACGAGGCACTGCGCGTTAATGCCGTACTTGCATAACTTGGATATCCCACCGTTGTCTCGATATCCTGCGCACTTTTTTTTCTTCCTGTCTACTACGTGCCTAAGTGCTGTACACATACATATGTACGTACATGTTCCCTATATCTATATACGCGCATAAGTGCGCGAGCTTAATAAGAAAGTGTCGCGTTCTCCCTATATATCCGCGATATATGAGCGATCGAGCGATATACTCTCCCGGATCGATCCTGTACGTGCCTTTTACGAGGATCTTACGAATCTCTCGGGAAGAGAAGAGTAACATTCTGGACATAAACGGCGCGAGCGAGGGTCTCGCGCACTGCCTGGCTCTCTTTTACGTGTGTGCCACTGTATTTTATATCTTTAAAAGCACCCTCTTATCTGCGGCCGCTTGCTTTTACGTTGGAGACGTTCAAGAGTCCTGAAAGGTTTCCGTCTATCTGTTTGATTATTTATTTCTATCTATTAAATTATTTTTCAAAGGGGAGAAAAACAAATATGTAAGATTGATGATCGATTAATTCATTCTACACTGGGGATGCTTATGTATTGTAATTATTTCGAAACAAAATTTATTGTCCCATTCAGATTTTGTCTGAGCTATACTTTTCGTATGAATTATATATGTATGTATATTCACTATGATATATTGTTATGACAAACTGTTTACGATCGTGGGTGGTTATAATGTTTTCCGTATTTTCCAACTTTTTGTTCTTCACACGAAATATATGAAATTTCTTGAAGGAACACCGAAGAAATGCGACTGCTCTCTTGAGATTATTTATTTACGTTTATTAGAAGGGCATCTTACGACTTCGATATTATTGTATTCTTAAACAGCCGCGAGATGAAGGATCTGAGAGCACGATCATTAAAATTTCGCGTTCCAATTCGGCGCGTTATTGTTGTCCGCATTACGCTTTAACGGCGCTTTCACGTGTGTTCAAAAAATATTTTGCATTCGTGTATATCTGAAATGTATTCTCGCCGCCTGTGGCATTTCCCTCTTTACGCGTGTACTACCTACGCGCTCGTTGGCCCTAAAAGCCGTCCGCATCAGAAATTCTCGGGTGCCATTTTTCGTGGTCCTGCGCGGCGCACCTCGAGACACGACTACTGAATAATATTTTAGCGAACGCTCGCATATGTTACGATCTTAAGAGCGGCGGTCGCGCCTGCCGCAACAAAATATTTGATGACTACGTTACGGCCTGGATGTTGCGAGTTATATAGCCGATGGAGGAGAGAGAGAGAGAGAGAGAGAGAGAGAGAGATGCGATATTCGATATTATTACTTTAATTAATAGCGTTCTTCCAGGATGATATAGTATGAATATACGATAAAAGACGTGATACGGTCTCAAGAGCGAATTCATTAAAGCGCGAGCATGCGGTAATTCCCATGATTAGATTTCTTAAACGCAAATCATAAAATTATGTTTTGTGTAAAATCAAATAGATGAACTTTGAAAATTTCTCCCACGTCCGGAATAATCTCTAGAATAATCTTGTTTCATCCTTTAAGGATGTATGGGAGACATCTAAAAATGGTACGAAATTTATAAATTACTTCTATAAAATTATAGATTAACTTCTGCTTTGATACTATAAAGTTACTGTTAACATTTGACTTTTAATTTACTAACTCATTTAAAAGTTATTTTAATTTAAATTTCTGTTAGTTTTACATATAATTTTATGAAAATTCATTACTCGAATTGATTATATTACGTTAAAAAAACAAATCGAAAAAATGATACTCTGTATTTTAAATTTTTTACATGTATAACTGAAACTTTAAAGAATAACGTTGCAAAATTACATTCACATTCATTAAACCATTTAAAAGAAAATAATAATAATTGATTAAACCATAGCGATTTTTTCTAAGATGAATAGCGTTGATACTTTTGTCTCCGATTGTATCTCCCATATGCATCCTTAATAATACCTCGGTTTTTTATCATTCTTTTTTTTTTTTTAAGAGGAGGCAAAGAAAAGAAAGGGTATCAGACGACTGCTCACTCGCCGTGAATCTACCCTAAGAGATTGCGTGGTATAACTATCGGCTACGAGACACCTTCGAACTTCCAGATCTCTAGGGGCTGTCGGTGGTAACAGAGGGAAGAACGAGGCGGCACGAAGTTCGCGGTGAAAGGTAGGTACATATATATAGGCGAAATATAAGGACCCTGGTTAGAAGGATCGCTTAGCACGCGATTGTCTTCCTGCGGAGTGTCTTTAAGGGTTTTAATCATGCAACTTCGGTGGAAACGCGCGTCGTTAATATTTCGCGATCGCGCGGCTCCTCCGTTTAGCTTTTCAGAGTCGAGCTTCGATAATCGTTTCGTTCGCGCGTCCGCCTATCACTAAGTAAGTTTTTAATCAATCATCGCGGCGCGCGCGTTTCATCGCGTGAAACAATCGCGCCGTGTTCGACGATGCGATGGGTTACCCCTAAATGAAGTTTCCCGTTGCTAGACGTTAATTTCTTCTAGTAGGAAACGAGAACGTCACTACCGCCGGGCGTATACCTGCTCTCGATTCTGTAATACTTTAGCCCCGCTGGAGCGAACGCCGCTTGTATATCCTGATTTATTACGGGCGTAAGAGATATTACGAAGGATCGACAAGCTGGTTATTGAAAGCAATAAGCGATAATCAATTTTACTCGTAAAAAAAAATTATATCAGTTTCTTCCCTTTTTTTTCGAAAAAATATCTTCGGCAATATTGCGAAAAGATTGCACCTCTCCGATTACTTTGATTTTTACTTTATATTATTATTAGAGTTCGGAATCACTTTGAATCACGTTGCGAACTTTTTAAGATGTGTATCAACATTTTTTAAAACTTTTAAAAACTTTTTATATTAAAAATAATACCTATCTTAAATATAATACAGTAAATATATAATTGGATTATCAGTTATAATAACGTTGATCTTGACATATCATGTTAAAAAATGCTTATTATAATTGTATATAATTTCACAATGAGTTTGCAACATTTTATCCAAAACGAGGATTATACATAGAAAAAAGTAAACTTTTAACTTACGTGGAAAATGTATTTTATTGTTTTACTTTACAGAAAGTGATATGCGTGAGTGAAGAGAGAGAGAAAGAGAAAAAGTTCCTTTTTATCTCAAAAAAAATTATAATCTCATCCACACACAAGCCTAATTTTTATTTTAAAAAATTTAAAAGAGATATATTAGTTTGAGAGAGATAGATTTTTTAGAAACAAAAATGCAGGGAGAGAGATGGAGTATATATATTTTCCTCGCTTATACTTTGCAGTAAAATAAAATAATAAAATACAAATTTCATTTTGCATTCGAAAACTCGTATATATAGTTGCATGTTTAAGAACTGACAGAAATAGATGAAATCTGACAATAGTGTAACGGTCATATTGAAGACAAAAGAGATAGCGTACACAAAGGGAGATAAAAAATGTTAACAAAGAGAAAAGTATGAACAACACAAAGTATAAAACACTGAATATAATCAGGAATAAAAATGTAATACTTCAAAATATTGTATTTCAGAAACTAAGAAAGGTAGCGACACGACTCAGATTTCTAGCTGTGATAATATATATGTGAAAATTAAAGGATGAATAATTAACCTTTTCGCAACATTTACTATATTTTTACATTTTTACCTTTTTCTATGACATTTCTTCTTTCCATCTTTTTACATTATATTGTATAATAATTGAATTAAATCAATTAATAGCATAACAATTAAAATGCATTATGCACAGTCTTCTCGATAAATATTTCTCTAAATATTTAATAATTAAAAAATATGATAACTATAAAAACTACAATGCATATAATTAAAATTATAAGGCATAATTATAATTTTAATTACATGCATTGTAGTTTTTATAGTTATGTGTTTTTATAGTTTTATACATATTTTTTAATTATTAACTATTTAGAGAAATATTTATCGAGAAGACTATGCATAATGCATTTTAATTCTTATGCTATTAATTGATTTAATTCAATTATTATACAATATCATGTAAAAAGATGGAAAGAAGAAATGTCATAGAAAAAGGTAAAAATATACAAATATAGTAAATGTTATATTTATGGCTTACATTTATACACATTTGCGGCCTATCGTTTTTTCTCCCTTCCTTCAGACATAGAATGCGAAGAAACGCGTGCGCGACAGGGGGTTAATTTCCTATACTGGACGTATCTGCTGGCACAGAAGTGTCGGAATTTTCCCTCCAAGTGTTTCCACCCCCGTCGTCGTCGTCGTCGTCGTGTCGTTCTCGTTCCTTCTCGCCATTCTTCTCGCTTGGTCGCGCGAGCGCGAACGCATCGTTCATCCTGATCGTCGTGATTCCCTCCCCGGGGAGGTTTACGTATGCCGGACACAGTTCGGCGCCGATTCATCAAAAAGACCACCCACCCGTTTTTCGCCATTTAAGAAAAGTGCCGGCAGTTCTCTTTTTCTCCCTCTTTCTCCCCGGCAAAAAGGAAGTCGGCGGCGGCATCGTTAGAGGCAGATTCGCCCTTACGGAGGACGAGGATCGCAAAACGATCGGGACGGGGAGGAAGGGGTGGGAACACTGCTTTACTCCATCCCCCTTGATAGAGGTGTGCTCGAGAGGGCATCCGGAGATTGGAGTTTGCTAGCGAGCCAGCTATCGTCTCTTCGTCTCCGTCGTATCTGCGACGACGACGACGACGACGAGGACGACGATGCTGCGGCCGAATTGTCCACAGAAAATTGTCTGTCGGATGTTAGACGCCCGCAGCGGAAGTTTCTTGGTAGCCATTACGAAGAAACGTAACATACTCGTGACAATGATGAGTGGACACGTCCAATACGAAGCGCGATTGTGTCTGGAAATACGTTTTTCATCGTTACCATTCTCGCGATATGTTGGACATTTACCTAACGTCAGCAGTATAAAATAGACAAAATCTTAAGGTAGAAAATTTAAATACGTGCAATGTCACATAAAAGTTATATATATATATATAATATAAATTGTTCAAATTAAAATAGAGAATTTCAGACCAACATGAAAATGGGAGAGGCAAATTAATTTGTACATTTTAATTATACACATATTTATAAATATATAAATATCGAATTGTAATTTAGATTTCGAGTAGCCGATAATAATGATCATTTATATATTAATGATCATTCGTAGCGTGATAATTAATCGGTTTTCGAATTAAAAAAATACCGCGATAGCTATAGATATCCCGCGATAATATCGAGCGAGCTCGTGTCTCTCGAAAATCTCGATTGTCATCTTTTGCTGGCGACGCGAGGATGTCCGAGGGACAATTGTCCAATAGTAGTCAACGAAACTTCTTTTCCGCCCGGCTATTTCCCCATCTCTTCCGTACATATTGTCAGTTTCACTGTCAGTACTTGCTGCTTGTAGACTTTGTAATTTCCGGCTGCCACTCGGCCTGTTCTTATTTCCCGTCACGTTCTCCAGGAGCCCTCTTCTGCTTCTCTCGCCACGGGGATGGTGTCCATTCGCCCTCATCCCTCTCTCTCTCTCTCTCTCTCTCTCTCTTCAGGTGTAATGGAGCCCAGAAACAGATAATTACAAACCCTCTCTGACCATCGAGCGCGTCGAGCGACCATCAGCTTTTATTTCGGTCTCTCTGACCCCGCGTATCCGACTTTACCAAGATATAAAGTGCGGATTCGTATTCATTCGTTGGCTTAGCGTTAATATTTCTTCGTTACTCCGCGTTCGTGTGCTCGCACATGGTCGGATGAGAGACCAAATAAAGCGAAATTCGCGGGACTGAGATTTTCCACTTACGATACACTTCGCGGTCTCCTTTCTTTCGACAAATCCAGACGATTAATCGTAATTCTAGAGTAAGTCGTCGAAGCCTTCTTCGAAATTAAATTTTCGACTTGGCAAGAAAATAAATAAAAATATATATTTTTTTGCATCATTATATATATAATTTTTTCCTGCGAGTTGGAAGCTTAACGTGTAGAAGATGGAAAGCGGACGTCATTAAATTTGTACGCAAATGTAATGCGAATGGAAAAAATCTTTCGTACAATTTGTACCGCTGCTTAAAAGCTTAACGCGAATGCAGTTGAAAACTTTCATCGGGGTTACTGCTATAACGATTTTGAAAATTAAAGTGATTTGCTGCTTCCTCGGGCCTGTCGCGCTCCTTACTAGCTTTTTCCTCTTTAGTTGGTACTTTAGGTGTAATAGAGCCGAGAAATAGATAATTATTCTTCTCTCTGACCTATTTCGCGCTCGCATCTTTCGACCTCGGGCTTCCTTCGCTGACTCTTACGATCGTCTCAAAGTTCTTTAGCGATGCTAAAAGTACTACTTTGCGATAAAAAGACTTATATACCTTAAGTATGTCGGAAAGATTAATTATGATATAACATAATTAATTATAATAAATATATCTTCTGATGTTTTTATTAAACATTATTTATTTCTCTTACTCGCATATCTACTTCATTTTTCTCTCTCTGATATAATTATTCCTTATTTTTTTAATAACCATGTAGATTAAATTGTCATGTAGATTAAATTTTAAATTTCATTACGCTGTATAAAGTGGAACGAATTAAATTTTGCAGCGAAAAGTTCCTAATGATTATCGCTATATAAAATTAATTGTAAACTTACATCATATAAGAACTGGATATAAAAAAATTACTATTTCTTAATATTAAAAGATAAATCGCTACATCGCATCGACGGAGACAATCGAATCGGCAGAAACGATTTCAAAGACGAGGGCAACCCCGCGGCGCGAACTATATCCCGCATTATCCGACCGACGAGACGTATTCACCCTTTCTGCTCCAGAGGTATCTACGGGGTGGCACTGCCAACATAACTGAGAATCTCCTTCGCAACTCTGATCGACAAAGTTCCTCCTGGCGGTGCCGCGAGCACACGGACACGAAAGTTAGCGCAAAGTCTACCAGCATCCCTTCTACCTCTCGTCCCCCATGACAGTCCTCTCCCTTTCGTCCTCTGTTTCTCGCTCCTACGCCTCATCAACACCACTGCGTGTCATATACACACACACACACGTACACACATGTATGATTTGTTCTCTTCCTTTTCGCATGAGAGCTTCTCCGTCGCACTCGCGCGCGACTCTTGTCAT